ACAATCAAATGCTTTTGCATAGTCAATAAAACACAAGTAAACATCTTTCTGGTATTCTTTGCTTTGAGCCAAGATCCATCTGACATGAGCAATGATATCCCTTATTCCATGTTCTCTTCTGAATCCAGCTTGCATTTCTGAGAGTTCTCTGTCGACATACAGCTGCAACCATTTTGAATTATCTTCAGTAAGACTTTACTTGCGTGTGATATTAATGATATTGTTTGATAATTTCCACATTCTGTGGGATCACCTTTCTTTGGAATGGTTACAAATATGGATCTCTTCCAGTCAGTTGGCCAGGTAGCTGTCTTTCAAATCTCTTGGCATAACTGAGTGAGTGCCTCCGGCAGAGGATCCGTTTGTTGAAACATCTCAATGGGTATTCTGTCAATTTCTGGAGCCCTGTTCTTTGCCAATTCTTTCAGTGCAGTTTCAACTTCTTCCTTCAGTACCATTGGTTCTTGAACATATGCCACCTCCTGAAATGGATGAAGATCAATCAGTTCTTTTTGGTACAGTGACTCTGTGTATTCCTTCCAGCTTCTTTTCATGCTTCCTGCATCATTCAGTATTTTGCCCATAGAATCTTTCAGTATTGCAACTCAAGGTTTAAATTTTTTCCCTCAGTTCTTTCAGCTTGAGAAATGCCAAACATGTTCTTCCCTATTGGTTTTCTGACTCCAGGTCTTTGCACATTTCATTATAGTGATTGGCTTTGTCTGCTTGGGCTCCTCTTTGAAATCTTCTGTACAGCTCTTTTATCTTGTCATTTCTTCCATTGGCTTTAGCTACTCTCTGCTCAAGGGCAAGTTTCAGAGTCTCTTCTGACATCCATTTTGGTCTTTTCTTTCTTTCTTGTATTTTTAATGACCTCTTGCTTTCTTCATGGATGATGCTTTTGATGTCATCCCACAATTCTTCTGGTTTTCTGTCATTGGTGTTCAATGCATCAAATCTATTCTTTAGGTGGTCTCTAAATTCAGGAGGTATATATTCAAGGTCATATTTTCGCTCTCATGGACTTCTTTTAATTGTCTTCAACTTCAAAGGTGGTAGGGATGCCATAAGAAGATAATGTGCTTTTTTTGAGAACTGAAAAATAAGAACCTGATACTATGGAAAGCTTGAAAAAAAATCATTAAAAGTTTATGTAAAGGATGTGTGTGAGTGAGCCCTTAAGATTCATAGTAGGTGGCTGTTTAGGTAAGATGGTATGGCTTAGGAACTTTATGGTGTAGTGCCTAAGGCAATTGACTGCTAATCAGAAGGTTGTCGATTCAAACCCATCAGCCAGTCCGTGGAAGGAAGACGGGGTCATCTACTTCCATAAAGATTTACCACCTTGGAAATCCAAAGGGGGTCACTATGAGTCAGAATTGACTCAATAGCATTGAGCTTGAGTATGAGAGTTGGTATAAACTTGATAGGAGGTTAAAATGTCGATCTTTTCAGTCAGACAAAAGAATTTGATTTTGTCTGTGAGGCTTCTTGTGCATCCTTAATAAATTCTCAAAGCCTTGTTTTCTTCATCTCCATAGTAGGAATAATAACCCTTACCTCATTGGCTTGTAGGAGTTAAATGAGACCACCTATGTAGTGCTTAGCATAGGAGGAGACTTTAGAAAGCACTCAGTAAATGTTCACCATTACTAAAATGCTTGTTGATTTAATTGAATTGAATTATGTCCAATATTTTCTATTTAAAAAAACTGGGAGAAAATGTTAACCATGGTTGTTTCAGGGTAGTAATATTATGGCTGTATCTTTTCTTTCTCATGTCTATAATAAGTTTAAATGATTTTTATAATATTAAAAAATGTAGCTTAATAACTAAATAAAATAGTTATAAGTAAATAGTTTAATAACTAAAGGGAAGAGTGAAAAGGTCAACAAATTTTAATACATTTTTTTGGGTAATATTTTCATCTAAAATTTTATTTTTGGAATGATAAACCTATAGCTCTCTGGAAAACTGTAATATTCAAAACTACTTGGTCCCCAGGTGGACAGGCTAAGTGTTTTACATGTAGACTTGGTCTAGATCCCTTCTTTTCTTCTTTTTTTTTTTTTTTATCCCCCCCCATACTAGTCAAAGGAGTATGGGAGTCTCAAGGCAGTAAGCCAGTTCTCTTTTTCTAGGTAGTCTTCTATCTAGATGGAGAATTACCTGTTCTTTTTAATTTCTAAAGGGAAACATATAACCCCACTTTATAGTTTTTCACAGCTTTTATAGTCAGGAAGTTCTGTCAGCTGCTGTATTAAAATCCTTCTGTAATTTACTCTTCTGTGTACTCATTTTTTTTGTTGTTGTTGTTGTTATGTGCTGTTGAGTCAGACCCAACTCATAGTGAGCCCTCCTTGGATTTCCGAGGCAGTATCACTATGGAAGTAGATTGCCCCATCTTCCTTCCGAGGAGTGGCTGGTGTGTTTGAACCACCAGCCTTCTGATTAGCAGTCAAGTGCTTTAGGCACTATGCTACCAGAGCTCCCAATTTAGAAGTATATTATTTGACTAGATCCTCCTTAACTCTTCCAGAATGCCCATCATCATAGGTTACATAATTCCTTTCTTCCTTTCTTGTACAAGCTGTAGAAAATATTTTGGTGAAAGTTTATCATACTCCACTGCCTCTAATTTAAATATGTTTACTTATAAAACCACTGTAACTGTTGTATTCAAACTTAAATGTTGTTTTGCACTGTTGAGTCAATTCGGACTCATAGCTGAAAAACAAGACAGCCCAACTTCACAATTAATGTGGTTAGTTCAGTGAGCTTTACATACTTTGAACATTTTAATTATAAAAGCAGAGTAAGCCCATTATATTTTAGCTTTGCAAAACAATATGTTCTGGGGATGAGAAATCAATGATGAACTTTATGGCAATAAAATGTATATTTAATCACTGAATACTGAAGGCTTTCTGTTTTATGTTTTTCTAGCTCCTCTCTGCCAGGAACTTAAAGGACTGAATTATGCTTACAGCCAAGAGTCCCTAAGATTCTACTTACAATAATGGGGAGATACAGGAAAAGTAGTTGTTTGTTTCCTTAATGGACTCAAAGTTAAACCAGGAGTACAAATAGCTATATTAATGTACTCTGAATCTTGGCTTTTACTCAGTGTTTTTGCCTCTTTAAACCCATGCAACTTTTCATAAGATTAATTATTTCTTATAATTATAGCATAAGTTGTATTTGTTATAATTAGGAGTATTACTAATTATATGGCCATCTGAGTAAGAGGCCATGTTCTTTTATTTGTGCTTAAGCCCAAATTGATATTTTTTACTATATTTTTCATTGTCCTCTCTTCCATTTCTCATGCATGGAACAGTCTGCTCAGCAACCAGTTAAAAAAAAGAAGCAACATAGAAAAGAGGATTTTTGCCCTTTCTCACCAACCATATGATGTCTTCTACCTCTTTTATTCTTACTGTTTTTACTCTTTATTCTTTCACCCTGAGCTACATAATTCATCCACTTAAGTACTGCATTTTTTTGATGGGAAAAACAAAGCAAATCTTAAAACCTCTTGTAACTCTTTTGTACGTGGTGCAAACTCAGTTTTGTTAAATATTTGTTAAGTGCTTAGAGTGATCTGTGTTAGGTGTCAAGCAAAGGATAAAGTCCTAATCTTCTCAGAGTTTAGAATGCTGTCAGGCTGTTCCATCCTCTGACATAGTTTAATCCCTGAGCTCATTAGGCTACAGAAGGGGGCTCCATGGAAAGGACTATGCTAAGTGAGAAGGGGAGCTCTCCAGTCTGTTATGTATTACATCTGCTTTTCCTTGAAACTCAACCTTCTGGAAGCCAAAACTGTAATGTGATTCAATGGCTAGATTGTAGAAATATACAGAGGAAAGTTTAGAC